AGGCTGAGCAGCCTCTTGAATGGTAGCATAGATAAACAATGAATAAAGCGCAACGTATAACATATAGAAGCACAAAAATCTTCATCTATCAATCCATTTTAGCCTATGCATTTTTACTCAGGTACTCTAAGAACATATAGAATATTGTTGATAATGGAAGAAGTGGGAGATTCATGAAGTGATTGCAGAGGAAGAGGAAGCAGAGCTACAATATTTCACTTCAGCACTGTATGCCTAGCCAGTGAGAAGTCTGGGGAAATTGCACCAATTGCACCATTAATAATCCAGCTCTGAAAGTTTCACATGAGCCTTTAGCCAGGCACCCACATTCTGCACCAAGCTATTTTTAAAGGCAGTCCCACATTCAGAGCATTGCAGAATCCTAGCTGTGATGTCATGAGTGCACTACTACCGAGGTCAGTCTCTAAATCAGAGCTGGTGAAATAGCCTAAGCTATCACTGCCACATGATTTTCCCTAGTTCAGTATTGAGTCCACACTACACAATTTGATATACTTTAACTGTCATAGCTCCATAATACAAAAATTTGGCATTTGTAGTTTACTGAGAGACTTAGAATTTTCTGCCAGAAAGATTTAATGCAATTGTTCAGGGGAGTATACTAGAAAACTCAAACTATCTCCCTCAAGTCCTAGGATTCTATAGGATGCAGCCATGGCAGTTAAAGTGGTATCAAATTGGTTTAATTATGCAGTGTAGTTCCACCCCAGGAAGCCTTGCTCATGGTCTTTCAGGGAAGGTGAAATTCTATTTAAGACAAGATGTAATATTTCTGTTTTAATTGTATTTTGTCTACCTCAACACCGCCTTTAGACACCAGGTCAAAAATTCCACATCTTCCTTGGGATAAATAGATAGAAACAAGATGTAAAGCAGGGGTCTGCAACCTTTTTGGGGGTGGGGCTGGTCTCCCTGTCCCCCGATGCCCCCCAGAGAGGCCTGGCACAGCGTGGGGGTCCTCCGGGGTGCCATTTTGTGTTCCAAAATGGCACCCAGAGACTCACAGCAGCGGCAGGACCGGGCAGGGGCCGGTTGGCAGGCCTTGGCGGGGTGGGTGCGGCCCGTGGGCCGTAGGTTGCCAACCCCTGATGTAAAGTGTCATCCCTATTATGATGACATGGGAGGCCATCTTCCAAATAAATTCTTTCAGCAGTCCTGCATGGATATTTTGCATGGATGTTGGGAGTCTCTGGCCCTCTAATTCCCATGAATGCCAGCCAGTATGATCAATGATAAGGAATGGTGGAATTACAGTTCAACAATACCTGGAGGTCATGGAGTGGAGAAAACTTCCCTTAGCATCAATGTCCAAAATGATTCATCCAGAAAGCACGGCAAATCCTGTAACACCATGGCTCCTGTCTAATACAGACAAATAATCCAGATGTACTGCAATTGATGTAACTGAAACCCACTGAGAAGTCCAGGAGAGCCAAGAGGGTTGCACTTTCCTAGCAAAAGCCATTTATTAGGTCAACCAAGGGTGCTTCTCCCCCAAACCAGGCTTGACAACAGAATGGAATATATCTGAATAATCAGTATCATCCAAATCTAGCAGAAGTTGAGAAACCACTATAACTTCCAAGATCTTGCATCAGAATGGCAGATTTGATACTGGACAGCAATTTAGCACAAAACACTGGATCTAAATAATGGCTCTTCCAAAGTGCTTCACCCATTGTTTCCCCTCAAGCTCGTATAAACCACCCTACCCTTCAAAGACAAATACCCAGTCCATTCCTGGCCTATTTCATGTAGTAGGATAGGCAAAGGTCCTGAAAACAAATGGTGGATTTCAATCTTCTAGGAAGATAGTCCAGACTCTCAAGTGGCACAACCTGAAAGGTATCCAGAATTTCACATTGCATTAGTCACATCTATCACTGTCTCACAAAACAGATTCAAATATATCTTCTAGTTATATTAAGATATTAAATGGGGGCTAGAGCCATATCAAAACTGCCAGACCATCACACACACACCCCCCGCAAAAAAAAATCCCTGCCAGAATTATGCTTGTACATTTTACTTAAATGCCAGCCTGTAAGATCAGAGAAAAATTTAGAATATTAGTTCTTGTGATCAAGGAAACAGGCAACAGGCCCTTATATAAAAAGGCTTGCTGCATCAGATGGCTGTGGGGTTTCTATGATGTAACTGCTTCTCTCGCTAATGGGGTTGTAAGTCAGAACTGCTTCATGGCATTTGCAAAAGCCATGAGGAAAAACCAGCACAGAGGAGAGAGAGAGAAAGAGAAGCAAGTAAACCTGAGCAAATATGTGCTTTGCAGTGGTTTCTTTAAAAATAAGTATGTGTGTGTGGGGGGGGGGAGGGAGGGACGGGAATCTTTTGATATTTATTTATTTAGGACAGCTTCCCCCTCTCTCTTTCTATTACATTTTTAAAACGATGTCCTGCTTATCTTCAAACAAATCCAGATCAGCTAACATCAGCATAAAGCATGGGGATGGGGGAAATACAGCAGCAAATAATATAGCAGACATCAGCCAGTAAAAGGGGGCAACTCTTATTGCAGAAGCATGAAAAAAAAACAACAACCCACCCCTCAACATTTTATAGCTAGCCATCTCTTCACCTACAGGCTAGATTCTCATGCCAAACTGGTCTTGCCACTTCATTTCCACACACAAAGGCAAGTTCCCAATTATGTTCATGGTTAAAACTGGGCTTGCCACTTCATTTCCATACACAAAGGATTTTGAATTTGAATTGGCATTCTCAGATACCAATGGCATATATATGTCTGTCCCTGGCTTCCACTCCACCAAATGCATCTGAGGAAGTAGACTAGTCTATGAAAGCTCATGCTGCCAACATCTTTCTTTCAGTTAGTCTCAAAAGTGCTACAAGATCTCTCTACATACTGATTCTACAGACTAACATGGCTATATATTTGAATTCTAGCTAGCCATCAGTTACTGTTAAAATCTGTCACCCCTCCACAACCCCCCATACTGCCTTAAGGCAGGGCAAGCCAGCTAGCCTTACTTAAGAAGGGCATTCAATAGAATTGGTACTACAATGAGCCTGTTTGTGTCTCGAGTTCTTCTTAGGAGGCTGTTCTCTCTGTCTTGTTCCACTTTCAAGTCCTCTGTCGAGAACATGAGACGGGGCCTTCTTGGTGGCTGCTCTGAGGCTCTGGAACTCCTTTCCTAGGACCTTATCACACGCCGGGCCACAAAGCGATAAGAAAGCGAAATAAGAATAAATCCAGGAATAAACCGAAAGGAACCCCACAATACGTAAATGGCTATCAGACACAACTAGCATCATCGCGCAATTAAGGAAAGCGCGATGAAGCGCTCCTGGGAACCGTATTTGCTGTTCACACACAATTGAGAAAATCCCGGACATAACCAAGTAATGATGCGCTGCACATGCTCAGTACAGCCGCGGCTGTCAAACACACCCCTTCCCAAGCTGGCACCGCGCAGGCGGGGGCGGGGAAATGCTCCACAATACGTATTGGGGAAATGCTCCACAATACATATTGCCTGTTCATATTCATATCGGACTTACGGAAAAAGCGAAATGATTCCCGTCGTGCACTTGTACTTCCTGAAGAAACCAAAATTCAAAAGATCTCAATTCTTCCCGGATTCTGTTGGGGTTCTGTCAGGGTTCTGTGCGGTTCTGTGCGATGTCATGTGAACACACAGAAAAATAATACGTATTACAGGGGTAGACAACCTTTTTGAGCCGAGGGCCGGGTTGGTGTCCCTCAGACAATTGGGGGGGCCGAAGCACCATAAATAAATAAATAAATAAATAAATAAATTTAAAAATTTACATGCATACTCTCTCAGCCCCAGAAAAGCCATGGCAAAATCCCTGTGGAGATTTTGCCAAGAAAACCCCAAGAACAAGTAATAACAACAATAATCAATATCATCATGGGGGGGCGGCGGCGGTGGGGGGGCGGCAGCGGCAGGACTGGCCTGGGGCCGGTCCAAAGGCCTCGGGGGGCCGCATCTGGCCCCCGGGCCTTAGGTTGCCTACCCCTGACGTATTAGGTCGGGATTTCTTTTGGATTCTGTCTGCTTTGGACCCCGTGTGATAAGGTCCCTAGAGAGGCTAGACAGTCTTTCCATAAACAGGTAAAACCTTTTTTCTTTCTTTCTGCATTCCTTTGTAGACTGCTCAAGGGGAACAGGACATGTGCAGTGCACTATGTTGCCCATTTGTTGTTTCCTTTAAATGACTTTATTTTAAATTGGTTTTAATTTTGACAGCCCAATTACATTTTTAGCTTTTGCATGAGGTATATTTTTAATTCTGTTTGCTTTAACTGTGGCTGTTCAGAGTGAGACTGAAAAACTGGGATATAAATATAACAACAACAACAACAACAACAACAACAACAAGGGCATTGTTCCTGGTACCCTCTTCCCTGGACTCAGGGTGACCAGATGTCCTAACTACACATGAGGACAAGGCACCGCAAAAAGTAGGACAGTCAAGGAAAAGTAGGGCATTGCAAAATAAAAGCTAAAAACACTCCAATAAATATTAATTAAATGCTTCTTAGGCATGCTCAAAATGGAGGACATTTTAAAATTCCTCCAGGACAGAAGATTGAAATGTAGGATATGTCCTGGAAAAGGAGGACATGTGGTCACTCTGCCAGGACTTCAGGAGCAGGAGTGCCACTTGATGCCCAGTGGGATCTGGTGAGGTATAGGGCAGGATTGCTGGAGATGAAGCCAAGGGCAGAGCAAACTACATCTTGTGTGCTACCCAGTTTCCTTCCTTGGATGTTCTAAGCACAACTTGTCCTCTGCTGTTGCTTAGGAGTCATGTTGGGAGTTAGATGCACCATGTCCCATCTGCGCAAGCAGTGTGGTTTGGGGACACAGTGAGCAGGGCCTCTGGTGTTGCCTAGGGTGCATGGGAGGAAACCCATGGGAAAGGTAGGCTCCAAAATTCCCTTTCTTGGGAGGGTAGACGGGATCCTGAGAGCCTATGTGATGTAGTGGTTTGAGTGTTAGATTATGACTCTAAGACCAGGGTTTGAATCCCTGCTCAGCCATGCAGACCCACTGAGCGACCTTGGGCAAGTCACATTATCTCAGCCTCAGAGGAAGGTAAAGGCCATTCACCTCTGAACAACTTCTGCCAAGAAAACCTTCAGATAGGATTGCCTTTGAGGTTGCCATGAGTCAGAAATGACTTGAAGGCACACAGCAACAAAAAGACAGGCTCCCTCCTTGTCCTTCTTTCAACTGATGAGGGTGTTTATATTCTGATAGGCTTTTAGGAAACAACTGTTTATAAGGGAAAGGCTTTTTTACAGCAATCTGCACTGTTCTTATTTTTAGTCCTTTAAAAGGATATCTTTTAAATGATGGACAGCCCAGCATGGTCTAGTGGTTTGAGTATTAGACTATGACTCTGGAGACCAGGGTTCAATTCCCAGCTTGGCCATGAAACCCCTGGGGCAAGTCACATGCTCTCAGCTTCAGAGGAAGGCAATGGCAAACCTCCTCTGAACAAATCTTGCCAAGAAAATACCATAATAGTTTCACCTTAGGGTTGCCATAAGTCAGAAACGACTTGAAGGCAAACAGCTGCAGCGTGCATAGTTTAATAGCATTTCACCAAGAGCTTTTTGTACTCTTTAACACCCGTTTGTGGTTTTATCTGTATTGGGTATTTAAAGCTGTAATTTTTGTAAAAAAAGTTTTGAAAAGTTATCTTGCTTTCCAGTTCTGGGAAACATGCAGGATATAAACAAAACCAGGAAGAGATCACAGATTTATATACTGAGATGAGATAGTGAGGCAGAAGATTACCTCACATCTTCTTTTGCCAGTGCTCCTTCCTTGACTTCTTGGCTTCCCTTTGTTTCTCTCTCTTTCCTCCCCCCCCCCCCCCCCGCATATCATTTCCCCTTCCTTCTTTCCTTTTCCTTTTCTCTCTCACCACCCCATCTTTTTCCTCCCTGGCCTTCTTTTTCCTCCCTTTAATTCCAAATATCATATTGAGGATGGAGCAAGCTTGTTTTCTGCTGTTCCAGAGAATAGGACACAGAACAATGGATGCGAGCTACAGGAAAAGAGATTCCACCTAAATCTCAAAAGAAACTTCTTCACATTAAGGACCTTATCCCACAGGGCCAAAAGCAGCAAGAATCCACATGGAATCAGGCGCTATAGCGCTATAGTTTTCCGGGTGATCCCACGACGTCGCTCGGAATCAGCTAAGAATCAGGCGCTATAGCGCTATAGTTTTCCGGGTGATCCCACGACGTCGCTCAGAATACAACAAGAAACCGCTCGGAATGCAGCATCATTCGGGTTCTTTTGTATGCCTGTTTTCATCGGGCATTGCAATATCGCTACCTTATCCATAGCGCTATTATAGCGCTAGCGCCATATTATACTAGCGCTATAGTACTGCAATGATGCTCATATCGGTTTCTTGCCACTTTTGAGAGCAGCGTGGGATAAGGTCCTAAGAGTTGTTTGACAGTAGAATGTACTCCCTCAGAAAGTGGTGGAGTCTCCTTCTTTGGAGGTGTTTAAACAGACAGTTGGAGATGCTTTGATAGAGAGTTCCTGCATGGCAGGGGAGTTGGACTGGATGACCCTTGTGGTCTCTTCCAGCTCTATGATTCTGATTCTTTCTACCCTCCCATGTTCACCCCCTTTCTCTCTTCTGATGTTCACTCCTTATTTACCTGCCCTTTCCTTTCCTTTCCTCTCCTAAGCTTTTCCTAACCTCTTTCCTATTGTCCTGGCTGGTGTGTAGGGCTGGGTGTTCCTGGCTTCCCCAGAGCCAGTGATGTCATTAGGGGTGTGTGTGGGGTTCTGACTGCACCAGGTGACACCCTAAGGCAGGGGTAGGCAACCTTTCCCCTTTAAGGGCCGAGGGACTTCAGCTCCCAGAAGCCTCAGCCACGTTGGCCAATAGTCCCATGTTGGCCAATAGCTCCTGGGATTCTGGGAGCTGATGTCCCTCGGCCCTTAAAGGGGAAAGGTTGCCTACCCCTGCCCTAAGGGGAGGTGACATCACTGCTCCTCAGACATTCGCCTTTGGGCAGAAATGGGCTGTGGCATGTGCTTATGCCCCTTTAAAATGGTGAAGAGATGGGGTGAGGCTCAGTGGGAGGAGAAAGGAGAGGCCTCAGCTTCTTAAAAAATATTTTGAATTTTAAATTTTAAAAATTTAAAGTGTTTAATTTTTTTTATAAAAATGTTTTTTTAATTTTCTTTAAAAACATCACATTAAAAAAACAATTTTAATTAAAAAAACAAAATTAATAAAAAAAAAACAAAAAAAATAATTTTAATTGTGTGCAGCAGTGCTTCCATAGGAGCCTGCACTTTAGATTTTGTGCCCTGTAATTCTTGTACATGTAATAAAACCTGCACAAATATTAAATATAATGAGTTTCTATTATTGCTTTTTGGGGTCAGACAAGATAGCTACATAAGACCTTATAAGAATAATAAGGTTTTTTGCTGCCTGTCTCTCTTGAGACTCATATGATGTTCCACACTAGATGCAACATTCACTCTGATAAGACTTCCTGTTCTATAAACACCTCCTGTTCTCTAAACAATCTTTGCCCAAGCGAGAAGTGCTGAATATTGTGAAACTAGCTGAACTAGAGAGGGAAGGGGAGCGGTGGATATAGTATATCTTGATTTCAGTAAGGCCTTTGACAAGGT